TAAATTTTTTTTAAAGTTTATAAAAAATAAAAGATTAAAAAGATTAGAAAAATTAAAATAAAAAAACATTTTCGGTATCGGTCTGACAATTTTTTATTTCGGTTTTGTTTCGGTTTTAAAAATTCCATTCCGGTGCACCTCTAGTTATAACTAGGGATGTCCTGATACTGATACTAGCATCGGTATCGGGACCGATACAGGGCATTTTCACAAGTACTTGTGAAAATGCCCGATACATCGCGCCAATGCTTGCGCTATGTTTTTTTTTTTGTATCTTCAGGCTGCCCAGAGGTCCCGCGCGTGTTGGGGTCCTCTGGGCAGCCTACCGGGCAGCTAAATTAGGACCCCACATGGAGCGCCGCCCACAAGACCAACAGTGACGCGCGCGCTGCTCTCCCGACGAGCGCCGAATAAGACAGCACTCGTGTGAGGCACATCCTGAAGCACCTCGTGAGGCACCAGGGATAGGGCAGCCATCATCGAGCAGTAAGTTAAGCGGGGCCTGTGCTGGGTTTAGAAGTGGGATCACTGTAAATCTATTGGCGGCAGTGTATTGGGAATGTGTACTGTATATGTGCTACATATACAGTACATTGCAGCAATAGGTTTACAATTCTCCCCTGCTAACATGAATAGGTTAAATGATCCATAGTACAACTACATATTATTACTATGGATCATGATTTAACCTATTCATGTTAGCAGGGGAGAATTGTAAACCTATTGCTGCAATGTACTGTATATGTAGCACATATACAGTACACATTCCCAATACACTGCCGGCAATAGATTTACAATGATCCCACTTCTAAATTCTATTGTTTTTTTTTAATGCCACCTGTCCCTTCAAGAAAAAGTATCGGTAATTGGTATGGGCAAGTACTTGTACTTGGTCTTCAAAAAGGAGGGGAAAAAAAACAGTAGTTTTGCTTGCATATGATTGGTGATGGAAGTCACCAGAACTTCACCTCATTTACTAAGCTAAGGGAAAATACCTTTGCAAAATTAACAGTATATTTTCCTTTAGCAAATTAAGCCCAATGCCTCCAAATTAAAATAAATCCCTTTTTAGACAGCGGTCACAGGAACATCCCAGATAGCAAGCACTTGAGCTGGAAGTTTGAAAATTACTTACTAAACTTTTGCTGGACTTGCCAAGCTTCACAATTTTGTTGCACAATTACAGCAAGTCTGTATTGCAAGTCTCCAGATCAACGTGCTTTGCAAAAGTGCTGTACACTTGCAGAGCTCTTGCTAAGACCTGCAGGACTCTTGCTGTAGACTTGCCAAGCAATTTTGCTACAAATTCAAAAAGTGTCAACTAGAACTTGTGCTGCAAGTGTTCTGCAAGCAAGTCTACAACTTGCCAGGAATGTGTGCAGCAAGTTGACAAGAATTACAGTTTAACCCTGCTACAAGTATGTGGCAAGTTATCCTTGCTATCTGGGATGTGCCCCCACTGACAACATTTCCACTCTACTCCTGTTCTGGTGACATCTTGAAATGTTGGATTTTCCATCACTTTTAATTCTGGAGAACAGGTTCTGGTCAACAGAACAAATGGAGAAAGTGAATCTCCCCAGCAAGTACAAAGACCGTCATAAAGACCTGACAGGGGTTTCAACACTTGCATGAAAAACTAAAACATGTTTATCCATTAGATATACTTTACCAGTAGCATGAGAATCATAAAGTTGTTTACCTAGGTGCTAAGAGGGGAAAGCATCGTTCTGTCATCATAGCTACAGGAAATTTAAACCATAAGACTCTCTAACTGGAACAGCAGGAGGGCAAACTGACATTGTTATTGACAGCAACCAAATTCCAACTGATAAAATGTTGGTATGGATTAAATATGTAAAC